TATGGATTGAGGCTCAATGTCAAGAAGACAAAGATTCTCACTAATTGGCAGCATCAGGATGGATGGTGAAGAGATTGAGATTGTTCACAGCTTTAATCTGCTTGGCTCCACAATCAACACTCTTTATACCAGCATGCTGCCAGGAAATTAAAAGACGTATTGCAATGGGAAAGACTGCTGTTAGGGACCTCTCTAAAGTACTGAAGAGCAATGATGTGTCTCTGGAGACTAAGGTGCGTCTGGTATAGGCCATGGTCTTTGCAATCACTTGTTATGCATCAGAGAGCTGGACAATGACCAGGGAGGATAGAATGAGAATCGATGCTTTTGAGCTTTGGTGTTGGAGAAGAGTTTTGAGGGTACCATGGACTGCTAAGCAAACAAACAGATTCATCCTGGGTTAAACCAGGCTGCTCCTTGGAGGCAAGTATTCTGAGGCTTCGTCTGACATACTTTGGACATATTGTAGGGAGGGACCGGTCCTTGGAGAGGGACATCATGCTTGGGAGGGTGGAGGGCAGGTGCAGGAGGGGAAGGCCCTCTATAAGGTGGATTGATCCAGTGACTGGGGCAATTAGGATGGGTGTGTTGGAGACAATGAGATTGCCACAGGACAGAGCAGAGTTTAGAGCTGTTGTACATAGGGTCGCTATGAGTCGCAAGTGACTTGATGGCACATAACAACAAGTGTTTTTATCAGGAAAAGGTGTTGTATTTTGTCAAAGGCCTTTTCTTCATCAATTTATCGAATCATGTGTTGTTTTTTGCCTTGGTAATGTGATGAACTACACTGATCATTTTTTCTGATGTTGAACCATTCTTGCATATCTGTTACAAATCTCACTTAGTCATGGGTGACTATTTTTTTAAAACTTTTTTTATTACTTTTTTTTTTTAATGTGTGTACTGTCAAATCAGATCTGACTGATACAGGAGGAGATTTTCCTTCCTTCTTCAGCAGAGCATCTGGTGGATTCGAACCTCACATCTCTGGGATTGCAGTGCAGCTTCTTGCCAGTAGGTGGTCATGGGTAACTATTGACTAGGGCTTTCTTGAGGATTTTTGTATCTATGTTTATGAGAGATACTAGCCTATAATTTTCTATTTTGGTGGCATCTTTACCTGACTTTGTTAGCAAGGATATGTTTGCTTTATAGAATTAGTCTGGGAGAATTCCATCTTTTTCTGTTTTCTGAAATACTTTATGTAGAATTGATGACAGTTCTTCATTGAATGTTTGATAAAATTCAGTAGTAAAACCATCTGGTCCAGGGCTTTTTTGGGTTGGAAGTTGTTTTATTACCTGTTCAAGTTTTCTACTATGGTCTGTGTCAGTTTGGGCAGGTTGTGAGTTTCTAATTATTTGTCCATTTCCTTTATGCTTTCATAATTGTTTGAGTATAGTTTTCCCATAATATTCCTTTGTTAAACTTTATATTTTAGTTGGTTCTGTTGTGACATTGCCCCTTTCATACCTTATTTGGATTATTTGAGTCTTTTCTTTCTTTCCTTTGTTAGTTTTGGAAGTAGTTTGGCAATTTTATTGACCTTTTCAAGAATCAGCTCCTGGTCTTGATGGTCACAACTGTTTTTCTGTTTTCTGTTCCATTTATTTCTGCCCTAATTTTTATAATTTTAATTTTTAAGAGGTTTTTGCGTTGTTTTGCTGTTCTTTTTAAATTTGTTGGAGATGCTGAGTTAAAAATAAATTATAATTTTTTCTTCCCTTTTGATGTGTTTTGCTTATTGCTATAAATTTATCTCTAATTACTGCTTTGGCTCTTTCTCAGAGGTTTTGGTAAGTTGTGTTTTCATTGACATTTGTTTCAAGAAGCATTCAGCTTCCTTTGGTTTCTTGACTACTGCTTTCATGGGTTCTGATTGTGTATTCAAGTAAAATGAAATAAGTGAAAACATCAATCATTTCTCCATTTATCATGTGTGGCTTATGGGCCCAGTGGGAGGGTTTTGCTTTCTTGATGTTGATCCATATTAAAGGTTGTAGTCTTCGATCTTCTTCAGTGAGCACTTCAAGTTCTCTTCTCTTAAAGCAAGAGAGTGTGTCATCTGCACATCTCGGGTTGTTAATGAATCTTTCTCCAGTCCTGTTGTTGTTGTTGTGTACCGTTGACTCAGAACTGACCAATAGCTGACCCTCCGGTGAGTCTTGAGAGGCAGTTAATCACATGAGAGGAAATTGTTCATCTTTTTCCTGAAGAGCTATTGGAGGATTTGAACCTCATGCCTTTGGGATTGTAGCACAACTTCTTGCCAACAGGTAACAAGAGGTCACTTCTCCAATCCTGCTGACACATTATTCTTCTATAGTTCAGTTTCTTGGAATATTTACTCAGCATGCAGATGGGATAGGTAGAAAAATGCAAACCAAAATTCAGTACCATGGAGTTGGAGTTGGCTCTTAGCTGACTCTCTAGTGTGTTTCCAAGGCTACAAATCACACTGGCAAATACTGCCTGTTCTTCCTCCCTCAGAGCTGCTGGTGGATTTGAACCCACTGCTTTTAGGTTAAGAGATATAACACTCTAGAGACTACACCATTAGAATTCAAAATATTTTAAAATTATTTAGACCTTTTTGTTAATGCCTTTTAAAAAAGTTTTCTTTACACATTCTTGTTTAATTTCTAATTAAAAAGGGATGTTCCCTGCTCCCCCCACCCCCGGCCCGTTATATTGCCTAATGTTGCTGATTCCTTTGGACTCTATATCTTTTGTTTGTTGTTGTGTACCATTGAGTCAGAACTGAGCATAGCTGAGCCTCAAGTAGATTTTCAAAGACTGTATAAATCGTATATGAGGAAATTGCTCATCCTTCTCTTGCCGAGTAACTGGTGCATTTTAACCACTTGCCTTTTGGACTGCAGTGTAGCTTCTAAGCACAAGGCCACTAGAACTCCCCATCTTTTATTTAGTCAGTCTATTAACTCTAAGGGAGCTCTGGTGGCCTAGTGGCAAGAAACTGTGCTCCAGTCCCAAAGGCAACCAGCTGTTCCAGGGGAAAGATGGGGAATCTCTTTCTGTGTGATTAACTTCCTCTGAAAACCTGCTAGAGGGTGAGCTACAGGTTGATTTTGGCACTGTGGTGTATAATAACAAAAATGAATTCTAAGCCAACTAGTTACTTATTTATTTTGTGATAAACATATGGAACACCTGCCCATAAGTTGTAGATCTGATGTGTGTCACAAAGGGCAGGTCTAATTTCCAAGAGTCTGAATTCCCATGGCAGTAAAATAGGAATAATAATACTGATTATCCCTCATAGAATGTGGTTAGACATGAACTCTGTGAAAAGAACTCTGAAGGTGTTAGTTACTTAGTTGAGTGTGTGGCTTGGTTCTCATCATCACTTGAAAGCCATAACTGGCAGTCCTCCAGTTATGTTGGCTTACCTGCTGGAGGTCAGCATTGCTGGACTCATTGATGCAACCTTCCAGCTCAGACAGACAGCCAGTTTTAGCCAGGGCAAATATAAGTTCAGTCTCTACAGAGGCATCTCGGCTCGTTTTCTTGGCAAACTGCAGGAATTTAACTAGTTCTGCCCAATTATCTAAAGAGAGAATACACAAGAAGGTCAACCCTCAGTTGAGAATTTTAAATGTAGGGCCCAATCCTTTTCTAGTTGTCCTCAGCCAAGATACTTTCATCCTCCCTCCCTTGTTTCACTGAGCACTTTGTCTCCACAGATGGTCTAGGTGGCCTTGGATTGTGCTCAGTTAAGCAAACACCCCGTCACGGTTAGAAGGGAAAGGGACAGAATCACGTATGAGCTACCTCTGTCACCAAACGAAGACTTTATAAGGTGACAGGATACTTGCCCTAGCCTCTGGAGAGGTCTATGGCACAACAATCAAGAAGTTCCCCAGGAAACGTTGGTAATGTTGGTAATGCCCATGACAGTAATCCTTATGTGGGAGGTGAGTATTAACTGGAAAGCTAGTGTCATGCACAGAATAATATTTAGAACAGGAACATCTTCATCTCTGACTCTTCTGGAAACTTTGTTTGTTCCCTGTGATTTCTCTGGACCCAGGATTTATAGGTTCACAGGTTCCTAGGTAAGCCACCGTCCTCCCTTGGCCAGGCCTTCCACCAGTGAGAAGCAGAGCCCTGTGGAGTGGACATTCACTTACTGCTCCTGCTTGCTGCCTGAACAATGTCCGGGTAAGAGGAAGGGTCGTCAGCTCTGATAAAGGAGTTGATAGCTTCCTTCACCAAGTCTCTCTGGAGCTGGGCTTCGGCCAGCTGACTCCACACCGAAGGCTCATTACAGTTCACCGCAAACTCATATGCTCTGTCTAGGTTTCCAATGTGCTTGATGAGGACCTAGGAGTTCCAAAGGGGCCTCTCATTGTCTGCAACATCTAATTGGTTCCAGTGAGCTGGGAATCTTTCCTCCAGTTCCACATTCTGTCTACAGTGGCATGGTATGGTGTCAAGGGTTCAAAATGGCTTTCCTAACCATTGAGTTTAACTTTGTCAAATGGATGGGTGGGGACATCAGAAGAGGGTATACACAAGGGGACTGGTTAGGCTTGCCACTAAATTGAGCAGATTCATTAGCAGAAATTGAGAATCTTGCAAAGAAGAAGCAGGAAATGCAGCATGTGCCCTTCAGGGCCAGAGATTTTTGTGCTAGCCAGACCTACAGGAGAGCAGCAGCAGCCATAGGAGAGAACCAGAGACCTGTGTGAGCCAGAGCGGACTATGGAACCAGAGCCTTTCCTAAGCTTACTGGAGAACTTGGAGGGGAGAAACCATAGTTGTCAGAAGAGAGCTTAGTAACTGGCCCGAAGCTGTGCAGCTGAAGGCTGAAGGGCCTGCAAAGCATGCTTTGGAAACTGTCCTGAGTGAGAGCTGTGTCCTGTTGCCAACTTGAACCTGTTGACTTCTCTAATAAACTCCATGATCATGAGTATGGTTCTGTGTGGTCTGGGAGCTACTCAACCAATTTCAGACCCAGTAAAGCAGAAGGATTGGTGTTGAGATGAGTAGAAAGAGGTGTAGAAGAGTGGGGGGAACATGTCTGACCTCATGGGAACTGGTCTTATGTTGTGGATGTTGTGGACCGTTCCTCCTTGTGGAGTTAGTAGAAGTCAGTAGAAGTCAGATATGACCATCCCAGGGGTCCTTGCTCCTTTTACACATGGTCATTTCAATTTCTTGGATGAGTGAGTGGCAGGGATGGAGGGGAAAGGCCACAGTATGTGTAGAGAGGCTGCCAGGCAGATAAATGGCACACTCCTACAATGAATCATAGAACAATGGAGATCAGGTTAGGGCATGGGGATTGCGGCTCGATCTTTGTTGGGAAAGGAAACAGTTCAACTAGCAGATAGACTGTAAAGAATTACACAGATGCTGCTCTGAGAAATAGGCAAAAACAGGTCTCAAAAAACAGGTCTCAAAGGCTTGGTGTAGGGTGCCGAGGTGGTAGCCATCTGCATTTGATGGGTGTTCTGGTCTCAAAGAAAGGTCATGGTCCCTGCATGTGCAGAAAAAGAGAACTTTTGGACCAAAGTTTTCATAAGATATAGAAATATGAATAGAAAAATGTTACAGGAAGAGGCAAGGAAACAAAGACTATTGGTAGGAGAACAATTAACATGATAGATCACACTTCCTAAGGGTCATAGCTATTAAAAACCAAGGGAGCAATCTATTTGAAGATAAAGCTTGAAAAGACTGGCAGTCTGGGAGGAAAAGATAAGGATGAAGGAAAAGCATTCTTGACAAGGTGGTGGCCAGGAGGGCTGGAGGGATTGCTCTGGGCTTTCAATCTCAATTAAGGAGAGATGGGGTTAGCCTCAGGTGGTAAGGGGAGTTGAAGCTGCACAGTGCTAAAGTGTTAGCATTCCACAGAGTTAGTGTGAGTGCCTCTGAACATCACATAACGAAGTCACCAGGACTTCCTGCACCACCCCGTCAGGTACCCCAGTCTGGAAGGGTATTGGAGGACTGTTGGAAAAGGGTGAGTAATGACCATATGGAAGGACATACAACAAAAAAGGCCAAGGTTGGGAATTGGTGAGCAGCCAAGAACAGCATGGTTATCTGAGACGCATTAGACAACTAAGGGTTGGAGACTCTGCAAGAGAGCTCATGCAGCTGGCAGAGGGCCAGCTGTGTACAGCTCACCTGGATGGCTGAGGTGTTCATGTCAAACTTGCGGAAAATAGTGAAGGCCTCCTCGTACAGGCCACTGCTTACGGCAATGCTCGCGATGTCTGAGGCATCATAGTTGTCCAGGTGGTTGATGTAGTCCATGATCCGAGTGTGGTCTGCCTTGATGGCAGTCAGGATCAGCAGGTTCTGGAGATTTCTGAGAAGAGCAGATGCTCAGTATTGAAGGCTACACATAATGCACACCATAGGTGGGGGCAGCCTAAGACACTCAATTAGATTTTCTTGTGTATCACTAAGTCCAATCAGACTCGAAGACCCTAAACATCTGCAGGATTTCCAGGTTATATTCTTTCTAGGTGTAGATTATCCCCATGAAGCTCTTTCTCCCATGGGTCCACTTGGAGGCCTCCAGTCTTAGGTTATCAGCTAAGTATGTACTTATTGCACTGCCAGGTCACTAGGAAACTCTGGTGGCCTGTTGTTTTTGTGAGGTGCTATAATGTTGAATATGACTCATAGTGACCTTATGAACAACAGATTTGAGCCCTGTACTATTCTGTGCCATCTTCATAATCTCTGAAACACTTGGAGCCCATTGCTGCCGTCACTGTCTGTCAAGCCATCGGGTTAAGGGTCCTACACCTCTAATACTATAATTATCTGTGTTACTCTATTGTTCATAGGTTTTTCAGAGGCCTGCTATTTAAGAAGTGGATGGCCTAGGTCATTGATCCAATTTGAGTTGGACTATAAACTTCATTAAAGAAAAACTTAGAAGAACTCTAGAAGTCCTAATCCACAACATAAACAGTCTTCCAAGCATCCTGAAAAATCTATAACCAGGAGAGGATAAAATAGATGAATGGGACCTTCTAAGAATCAAATCCCTAAGCACACCCAAACTTTGTCAAGAGGGTAAAAATGGAAGCCACAGACTGGAAAAAAATATTTGGTAATGACATGTCAGATAAGGGACTTATATCTATAATTTATAAAATACTCAAGCACCACAACAAGATAAAGGTAAACAATCCAATTGAAAAATGGGCACAGGATATGAACAAACCATCAAAGAAGACATTCAGATGGCCAGCAAACACATGAAGAAATGTTTAAAATCCCTAGATCTAAGACAGATGCAAATCTAAACAACTATGAGTTATCATCTCACCCCAGTAAGAATAGCAAAATTGAACAGAACAGCAAACATCAAATGTTGGCAAGGTTGTGGAGAAAATGAAACTCTTATTCACTGTTGGTGGGAGTGTAAAATGGTGCAACCACTATGGAAGGCTGTATGGCGCTTTCTCAAAAAGTTGCAAATAGAGATACCAAGTGACCCAGCAATTCCACTACTGGCAATATACCCCCAAGAAACCGTAACTGCCACCCAAACAGAAACATGCATTATTGTTGTTGTTGTTATGTGCCATCGAGTTGCTTGCAACTCATAGCAACCCTACGTACAAGAGCCCTAAATGCCGTTCTGTCCTGTGCCAACCTCACCATCTCAAACACACTCATTCCCATCACTCCACTCACAGAACAGGTCCATCTCATCGAGGGTCTTTCTCTCCTGCTCTGTCCCTCCACTCTCCCAAACATGATGTCCCTCTCCAAGGACCAGTCCCTCCTTGCAACATG